GTCCTGGGCTGGCCTGAGGCCCTGGCAGTTGCCTTGTGCTCATGGCGAGGGGCGATTGCTACCCCAGAGGATTGCCCATGCCTCTTGCTGAGGGTCATAGCTCTGGATGGTATCCAGGGTGCTAGAGGGTGCTGAGGCAACAGGGAGATCCTATGAGCTGTTCAGCCTGCATAGTTCAATTAACCAGGAGTCCGGGAATGTGCTTGGATTGATGATGACTCCTTCAATCTGCATTCCTTGGAAAAGCTAAACAAAATGAGTGAGAACTCCCTACCATCGTTCTCACTGAAACTGAGGTCCAGCATGTTGTCTCTCCCAGGGAAGGAGGAGTGAGGGACAGCTTCACCTTGGTCATGCTACACGCTCGCTACCACCACCACCAACAACACCAGCTCCACCCAAGGGCCTTGAGATCAGAGAGCATGGTGGAGGGCTGAGGACCCAGAAAACATGTGCTCTCCTAGGGTGGGTGTCCTCAACTTGGTGGGCCTCTGTGGCGTGGCTGAGCTTTGGTGGCATCTCTGACAGCCAGTGCAAAGACAACAGTAAAGTGTTAGGAGTTGCATACGCAGCGTTGGGAGGTCCTCGAGAGCGTCTGTGCCAAATCACGTCGGCCAGGCCAATGACTGAGCCAGAGAGTCTGGCATTGTGTGCGGTGCCCCCCTTTCAGTGCCAGGCATCCTGGGGTTACAGATGGACTCCCGTCAGGCAAGCTGCAATCTTTGCCCGAGGCTTCTGACCCGAGTTCTTAATGAAAGCTGAACAGGGTTGGGGGAAGACAGGAAAAGCACCTGGTAGGGCCGGTGCATTTGACAGCACCTGAATTCATCTCAGAGCAGACAAGGACAGACACACAGACTCGCACGCACACACGAAAACAAAAAACACATGCACACACACACACAGACGCAAACACCACACATGCAAGGAGGTCCAGGAAATCTTGTAGTGTACATTCAGGGAAGGATTGTAGCCTCTCTACTGGCCACTGGGAAGAATGGGAATGGCAGGGCACAGGGAGTCTAGAGGACAGGTGGGTGCGGGCAGCTGGCGACCTCCCTACACAGGGATGGTGTTTCAAAAACCAGCGGGTCAGTGCTTGGTGGGCTGTGAGTGGCCCCACCACCTTTCCACATAGGCTGCGAGTTATGGCCTGAAGAGGCTGCTGGGCAAGGGGCTGCGGCTCTGTCCAACGTGCCCCTGGCCACTACTTTCCTGAAGAAGGGTTCTCCTGGGCATCTACTCTGTGCCTGTGAGTGGTATTACAGCCATTACCACCCTGGCCACTGCTAGGTTCGCTGGCTGACTTTGCAGACCCTGGCTGTGCAAACCTTACCTCCTGTGTTGAGGGGCTCATGCATAAAGGAGTCCACCCAGGGAAGCATGTGATTCAGCATCCAGGATGGCTCCTGCCTGCTCTGTGGGCACAAGACTTCTCTGGGCTATGCTGCAAACCATGCAGGACAGGCCACAGGGACCCAATAGTAGTCAGGGAATCCCCATGTCCTGGACGTGGAAATTGGCCCACATCCTCCTCTTTGTAGGAAGGGCACCAGTCCTCCTTTGAGTGTGCTTCAGGCTTGAGGGACTATACCCCTGCATCAGAGCCACTCTGTTGAGCCTGTCTTTACCAGTGTTTGGGCCCTACCTTGAGTCCCACATTGTAGATATCTGTGAAGAGCATCCCACGTGTTGCTGTTCTTGCTGACTATCCCAGCCCCAATGTGAGAGTCCCATTCTAGGTAAATGGTGACTTTCCCTGCAGTGATGAGGACTCAGGGACATGGATCTGGATGCAGCAGCCCGACTGATGGCACGTGTTCCTGGAGGCCGAGCCCATGAAGCACAAAGGCTGTGGATATGCCAGTTCCCTTGGCAGTAGTGCATCCTCAGTTCACTTGGCTGTTCTTTGGCTCTCAGTGTAGCATGAGCACCACTTGCTTAGGGCTGTTCTGCCCAAACACCAAGAGCCTTATTGTCGTGTCTGTGGGACAGGTTGCCTGGCTGACCTTTGTGTGGCCACCTCATCTCAATAGAGCTTTGTGGAGGTCTGAGGTGTACAGCCAGTACCCAGGGCTTGCCGGCCTGCCTGAGGGCTCGTTGCCTTTCCCTTTGGTCACTGAAGTTTCGTGCTGTGCTCCGGACCTGGCTCAGCTAACGGAATGATCTAGGCCACATCGACATCGCTTTGAAGTTCGAATGTGGGTTTTCTGAGGGGAGTGGTTGTGCTGTGAATTGCCAGAGGGCTTTGGACACGTAGTGTCTAATGCCTTGGCGGCCTCCCCCAAGGTCAATCGTGTCATCTCGTGCCACTGTGTGCCAGGGTCAGAGGCCTTGGTTCCCAGATGCGCCATGTGCTTTGCGGAGATGAACTCCAAACATGAGCACCTGAGTCATGGCTGGCCAACCTGCCAGGCTACCCTGCACACACACACATGTGCACACCTGCTAATAAATCCATAGAGTCACACTGATGCACACACACTCAAACACCCACACAAAGGGCCACAGACAGGCACACAAACAGCCCCACTCATTGCACGTGGGCTTACTGGTCACATTGTCACCCACTCACAAGGAAATTCCTAGACACATGAGACAGAGGAACATTGCCTTGTGTGGGATGATGTGGGCCCATGCCATTTCACCGACGAGAAGCTAGCACTGCGGGACAGAGGGATAGCACAGGGAGATGCAAGCTTCCCCATGGAACCGTTCAGAACACTCAGGCCATCGGAGTACCTGGGTGGGTTTGTGACCCATTCACCTGATTTCTCCACACTTCCTCAGGTGCGGAGGCCTAGCCAGGCTTGCCCTCGACATGGAGAAGATGACCTCTTTTCTTATGGAGGTGTGGAGTGATGACGGCAGGCCTGTGTGAAGAAGACTGGCCCAGGACGGGGAACCTGCACACAGTTCAGAAAGAGGTAAGCCTATCGTCTCAAAGTGAGCCGATAGAAATAGAAGGCCCTGGGCCAGCCAGCAGAACTGAAGTTTGCTTGTGCTCATGGCAAGAGGCGAAGGCTCCCCAAGAGTATTGACCATGCCTCTTGCTTAGGACATAGATCGGGATGGTCTCCAGGGTACTAGAGGGTGCTGAGGCCACGGGGAGACCCCATGAGCTGTTCAGCCTGCATAGTTCAATTTACCAGGAAGCCGAGAAAGTGCTTGGATCGATGATGACTCCCTCAATCTGCATTCCTTGGAAAAGCTGAACAAAATGAGTGAGAACTCCCTGCCGTCGTTCTCATTGCAACTGAGGTCCAGCACCTTGTCTCCCCCAGGGAAGGAAGGAGTGAGGGACAGCTTCACCTTCGTCGTGCCACACGCTTGCAACTACCACCATCACCACCACCAACAACAACAACAAAACCAACAACACCATCTCCACCCAAGGACCTTGGGATCAGAGAGCCTGGCGGAGGGCTGAAGGCCTAGAAAACGTGTGCTCTCCTTGGGTAGGAGTCCTCGACTTGGTGGTCCTCCATGACATGGCTGGGATTTAGTGGTGTCTCACACAGCCAGCAGCCAAGTGGTAGGAGTTGCGTTAGGTGGCTTTGGCAGGGCCTTGAGAGCATCTATGTCGGAGTACGTCGGCCAGGCCAAAGATTGAGCCAGTACTCCTGGTGGTGTGTGGTGCCCCCCTTTCAGGGCCAGGCACTGCCGGTGTACAGGTGGACACCGGACCGGGCAAGGAGCAATCTCTGTCCGAGGCCTCTGTCCCCCGTTCTCAGCTGAGAGCTGAACAGGGTTGCGGGTGGACTGGAAAGACACCAGATGGGTTCGGTGCATTTGATAGAGCCGTAAATCATCTGAGGCCAGACGAGGATGGAGACACAGAACTCGCACACACACACGAATACACATACAAACATACAGAAGCACATATACAGTCACACGCACGCTCACATACCTGTAGTCACATGCACAGGCATGCAAACAAACACACACACACACAAACACACACACACGCCAGGAAGTCCAGGAGAGCTCATGGTGTACGTTCTGGGCAGGAGTGTAGAAGCTTTGGTGGCCAATGGGAAGAATGGGAATGGCAGGGCCAAGGGCGTCTGGAGGAAACGTGTGTGCGGGCAGGGCAGCTGGTGGCCTCCCTACACCTGGATGCTGTCGGGAAAAGCAAGGTGTCAGAGCTTTCTGAGCTGTTTGAGGCCCCACCACATTCCAACTTCCCCATGGGCTGTGATTTACGGCCTTAAGGGGCCGCCTGGCGATGGTGCCGAGGGCTCTGTCCGACCCGCCCCTGGCCACTCCTTTCCCAAAAAGGGTCTCTCCTGCGTGTCTACACTGTTCCTGGGATAGCCGTGCCTGCCATTGCCACCCTGGTTGTCCCAGCTAGGCCTTGCAGACTCTGGCCGTGCAGACCTTGCCTCCTGGGCTGCCGGGCTCCTGTGTAAAGGCATCCACCCAGGGCAGCCCTTGATCAGCATCCGGATTGGCTCCTTCCTGCTCTGTGGGCACAAGACTTCTGTGGGCCAGGCTGCAGACCTTGCAGGACAGGCCACAGGGACCCGATAGTAGGCAGGCGGAGCCTCTTGTCAAGGCTGTGGGGCTTGGCCCTTGTCCTCCTCTTCGTGGGAAGGCACTGGTTCTCCTTTATGTGTGCCTCTCACCGATAGTAATGTAGCCATGCCCCTGCACCAGAGTCTAAACACCACCTGTGCACCTGTGTTTAGCCTGTCTCTGCCAATGGACAGGCCCTCCTTTGAGTCCCACAATATAGATGCCTGTGAAGAGCGTGTCACGTGTTGCTGTTCTTGCTGAGGATCCCAGCCCCGACGTGGGAGTCCCTTTCGAGGGCAGTGGTGACTTTCCCTGCAGTGATGAGGACTCAGGACATGGACCCGGATGCGGCAGCCCGACTAACGGCGCGTGTTCCCAGAGGCCGAGCCCGTGAAGCACAATGGTGGTTGCGATGCCAGTTCCCTTGTCAGTAGCGCACCCCCGCTTCAGTCGGCTGTTCTTTGGCTCTCGGTGTAGCACGGGCACCACTTGCCTAGGGCTGTTCTGCCCGCACGCCAAGAGCCAAATTGTCATGTGTGTGGGACCAGTCGCCTGTCCGACCTTCGTGTGGCCACCTCTTCTCATAGGGCTTCGTGAAGGCCTGAGGCGTGCATCCATTACCTGAGGCCCGCTGCCCTCACAGGGCTCGTTGCCTTTCCCCGTGGCCGCTGAGGTTTCATGCTGCGCCCGGACCCGGCTCAGCTAATGGGGCGACGTAATCCACATCGACATCGCTTCGAAGGTCGAAAGTGGGTTTTTGGAGGAGAGTCCTTGTGCTGTGCTTTGCCAGAGGGCTTCGGACACGTGGTGTCTCAGGGCTTTGCAACGTCCCCTGAGGGCAGTCCCGTCATCTCATGCTATTACGTGGCAGGGTGTGAGGCCACGGATCCCCGGATTGCCCGTGTACTTTGCGCTGATGAACTCTAAACATGAGCTCCTGAGCCACGGATGGCCAGCCTGCCAGCCTGCCAGCCTGCCCTGCACACGCACACATGTGCACACCTGCTTGCTAAGAAACCCATAGAGTCACGCTGATGCACACACACTCAAACACACCCACAGAGGGCCCCACACAAACAGACGCATGCACATCCCCACTCATGGCGTGCGGTCTTACCAGAAACATTGTCATAGTCTAACAAGGAAATCCCTAGACACACAGGAGACAGAGGCACATCCCCTTGGGTCGGATGACGTGGGCCCGTTCCATCTCACTGATGAGCAGCTAGCCCTGTGGGACAGAGGGACAGCACAGGGAGATGCAAAGCTTCCCCCACAGAACCGTTTGGAACGCTCAGGCCATCTGAGCGCCTGGGTGGGTACGTCACGCATTCGCCTGATTTCTCCACACCTCCTCAGGTCCCGAGGCCTAGCTAGGCGTCCTGTGCACATGGAGAAGAAGACCTTCCTTTCCTTTCCACGGTGGTGTGGAGAGATGATGGCGGGCCCTGTGGAAGAAGAGTGGTCCAGGACGGGGAACCTGCACACGGATCACCAGAGGTAAGCTTTTGTTGTCTCAAAGTGTACTGATGGCACTAGAAGGTCCTGAGATGGCCTGCGGACCTGCCAGCTGGCTTGTGCTCCTGGCCATGCACGTTGGCTCTCCAGGAAGTTTGCCTAAGCCTGTTGCTCAGGGGCATTGCTGTGGATGGTCTCCAGGGTACTGGAGGGTGCTGAGGCCACCGGGAGACCCTAAGAGCTGTTCAGCCAGCGTAGTTCAATATACCAGGATGCCGAGAGAGTGCTTGGATCGATGATGACTCCCTCAATCTGCATTCCTTGGAAAAGCTGAACAAAATGAGTGAGAACTCCCTGCCGTCGTTCTCATCGCAACTGAGGTCCAGCACCTTGTCTCCCCCAGGGAAGGAAGGAGTGAGCGACAGCTTCACCTTCGTCGTGCCACACGCTTGCAACCACCACCACCAACACCACCACCACTACCACCACCACCACCAACACCACCATCTCCACCCAAGGGCCTTGGGATCAGAGAGCCTGGCGGAGGGCTGAGGGCCTAAAACAACGTGTGCTCTCCTTGGGTGGGAGTCCTCGACTTGGTGGTCCTCCATGACATGGCTGGGCTTTGGTGGTGTCTCAGACAGCCAGCAGCCAAGTGGTAGGAGTTGCGTTAGGTGGCTTTGGCAGGGCCTTGAGAGCATCTATGTCGGAGTACGTCGGCCAGGCCAAAGATTGAGCCAGTACTCCTGGTGGTGTGTGGTGCGCCCCCATTCGGGGCCAGACGCCGCCCGTGTACAGGTGGACTCCCGACCGGCAAGGAGCAATCTCTGTCCGAGGCCTCTGTCCCCCGTTCTCAGCTGAGAGCTGAACAGGGTTGCGGGAGGACAGGAAAGACACCAGATGGGTTCGGTGCATTTGATAGAGCCGTAATTCATGTGAGGCCAGACGAGGATGGAGACACACAACTCGCATGCACACACGAATACACATACAAACATACAGAAGCACGTATACAGTCACACACACACACACACACACACACACACACACACACACAGACACGCCAGGAAGTCCAGGAGAGCTCATGGTGTACGTTCAGGGCAGGAGTGTAGAAGCTTTGGTGGCCACTGGGAAGAATGGGAATGGCAGGGCCAAGGGCGTCTGGAGGAAACGTGTGTGTGGGCAGGGCAGCTGGTGGCCTCCCTACACCTGGATGCTGTCGGGAAAACCAAGGTGTCAGAGCTTTCTGAGCTGTTTGAGGCCCCACCACATTCCAACTTCCCCATGGGCTGTGATTTACGGCCTTAAGGGGCCGCCTGGCGATGGTGCCGAGGGCTCTGTCCGACCCGCCCCTGGCCACTCCTTTCCCAAAAAGGGTCTCTCCTGCGTGTCTACACTGTTCCTGGGATAGCCGTGCCGGCCATTGCCACCCTGGTTGTCCCAGCTGGGCCTTGCAGACTCTGGCCGTGCAGACCTTGCCTCCTGGGCTGCCGGGCTCCTGTGTAAAGGCATCCACCCAGGGCAGCCCTTGATCAGCATCCGGATTGGCTCCTTCCTGCTCTGTGGGCACAAGACTTCTGTGGGCCAGGCTGCAGACCTTGCAGGACAGGCCACAGGGACCCGATAGTAGGCAGGCGGAGCCTCTTGTCAAGGCTGTGGGGCTTGGCCCTTGTCCTCCTCTTCGTGGGAAGGCACTGGTTCTCCTTTATGTGTGCCTCTCACCGATAGTAATGTAGCCATGCCCCTGCACCAGAGTCTAAACACCACCTGTGCACCTGTGTTTAGCCTGTCTCTGCCAATGGACAGGCCCTCCTTTGAGTCCCACAATATAGATGCCTGTGAAGAGCGTGTCACGTGTTGCTGTTCTTGCTGAGGATCCCAGCCCCGACGTGGGAGTCCCTTTCGAGGGCAGTGGTGACTTTCCCTGCAGTGATGAGGACTCAGGACATGGACCCGGATGCGGCAGCCCGACTAACGGCGCGTGTTCCCAGAGGCCGAGCCCGTGAAGCACAATGGTGGTTGCGATGCCAGTTCCCTTGTCAGTAGCGCACCCCCGCTTCAGTCGGCTGTTCTTTGGCTCTCGGTGTAGCACGGGCACCACTTGCCTAGGGCTGTTCTGCCCGCACGCCAAGAGCCAAATTGTCATGTGTGTGGGACCAGTCGCCTGTCCGACCTTCGTGTGGCCACCTCTTCTCATAGGGCTTCGTGAAGGCCTGAGGCGTGCATCCATTACCTGAGGCCCGCTGCCCTCACAGGGCTCGTTGCCTTTCCCCGTGGCCGCTGAGGTTTCATGCTGCGCCCGGACCCGGCTCAGCTAATGGGGCGACGTAATCCACATCGACATCGCTTCGAAGGTCGAAAGTGGGTTTTTGGAGGAGAGTCCTTGTGCTGTGCTTTGCCAGAGGGCTTCGGACACGTGGTGTCTCAGGGCTTTGCAACGTCCCCTGAGGGCAGTCCCGTCATCTCATGCTATTACGTGGCAGGGTGTGAGGCCACGGATCCCCGGATTGCCCGTGTACTTTGCGCTGATGAACTCTAAACATGAGCTCCTGAGCCACGGATGGCCAGCCTGCCAGCCTGCCAGCCTGCCCTGCACACGCACACATGTGCACACCTGCTTGCTAAGAAACCCATAGAGTCACGCTGATGCACACACACTCAAACACACCCACAGAGGGCCCCACACAAACAGACGCATGCACATCCCCACTCATGGCGTGCGGTCTTACCAGAAACATTGTCATAGTCTAACAAGGAAATCCCTAGACACACAGGAGACAGAGGCACATCCCCTTGGGTCGGATGACGTGGGCCCGTTCCATCTCACTGATGAGCAGCTAGCCCTGTGGGACAGAGGGACAGCACAGGGAGATGCAAAGCTTCCCCCACAGAACCGTTTGGAACGCTCAGGCCATCTGAGCGCCTGGGTGGGTACGTCACGCATTCGCCTGATTTCTCCACACCTCCTCAGGTCCCGAGGCCTAGCTAGGCGTCCTGTGCACATGGAGAAGAAGACCTTCCTTTCCTTTCCACGGTGGTGTGGAGAGATGATGGCGGGCCCTGTGGAAGAAGAGTGGTCCAGGACGGGGAACCTGCACACGGATCACCAGAGGTAAGCTTTTGTTGTCTCAAAGTGTACTGATGGCACTAGAAGGTCCTGAGATGGCCTGCGGACCTGCCAGCTGGCTTGTGCTCCTGGCCATGCACGTTGGCTCTCCAGGAAGTTTGCCTAAGCCTGTTGCTCAGGGGCATTGCTGTGGATGGTCTCCAGGGTACTGGAGGGTGCTGAGGCCACCGGGAGACCCTAAGAGCTGTTCAGCCAGCGTAGTTCAATATACCAGGATGCCGAGAGAGTGCTTGGATCGATGATGACTCCCTCAATCTGCATTCCTTGGAAAAGCTGAACAAAATGAGTGAGAACTCCCTGCCGTCGTTCTCATCGCAACTGAGGTCCAGCACCTTGTCTCCCCCAGGGAAGGAAGGAGTGAGCGACAGCTTCACCTTCGTCGTGCCACACGCTTGCAACCACCACCACCAACACCACCACCACTACCACCACCACCACCAACACCACCATCTCCACCCAAGGGCCTTGGGATCAGAGAGCCTGGCGGAGGGCTGAGGGCCTAAAAAAACGTGTGCTCTCCTTGGGTGGGAGTCCTCGACTTGGTGGTCCTCCATGACATGGCTGGGCTTTGGTGGTGTCTCAGACAGCCAGCAGCCAAGTGGTAGGAGTTGCGTTAGGTGGCTTTGGCAGGGCCTTGAGAGCATCTATGTCGGAGTACGTCGGCCAGGCCAAAGATTGAGCCAGTACTCCTGGTGGTGTGTGGTGCGCCCCCATTCGGGGCCAGACGCCGCCCGTGTACAGGTGGACTCCCGACCGGCAAGGAGCAATCTCTGTCCGAGGCCTCTGTCCCCCGTTCTCAGCTGAGAGCTGAACAGGGTTGCGGGAGGACAGGAAAGACACCAGATGGGTTCGGTGCATTTGATAGAGCCGTAATTCATGTGAGGCCAGACGAGGATGGAGACACACAACTCGCATGCACACACGAATACACATACAAACATACAGAAGCACGTATACAGTCACACACACACACACACACACACACACACACACACACAGACACGCCAGGAAGTCCAGGAGAGCTCATGGTGTACGTTCAGGGCAGGAGTGTAGAAGCTTTGGTGGCCACTGGGAAGAATGGGAATGGCAGGGCCAAGGGCGTCTGGAGGAAACGTGTGTGTGGGCAGGGCAGCTGGTGGCCTCCCTACACCTGGATGCTGTCGGGAAAACCAAGGTGTCAGAGCTTTCTGAGCTGTTTGAGGCCCCACCACATTCCAACTTCCCCATGGGCTGTGATTTACGGCCTTAAGGGGCCGCCTGGCGATGGTGCCGAGGGCTCTGTCCGACCCGCCCCTGGCCACTCCTTTCCCAAAAAGGGTCTCTCCTGCGTGTCTACACTGTTCCTGGGATAGCCGTGCCGGCCATTGCCACCCTGGTTGTCCCAGCTGGGCCTTGCAGACCCTGGCCGTGCAGACCTTGCCTCCTGGGCTGCCGGGCTCCTGTGTAAAGGCATCCACCCAGGGCAGCCCTTGATCAGCATCCGGATTGGCTCCTTCCTGCTCTGTGGGCACAAGACTTCTGTGGGCCAGGCTGCAGACCTTGCAGGACAGGCCACAGGGACCCGATAGTAGGCAGGCGGAGCCTCTTGTCAAGGCTGTGGGGCTTGGCCCTTGTCCTCCTCTTCGTGGGAAGGCACTGGTTCTCCTTTATGTGTGCCTCTCACCGATAGTAATGTAGCCATGCCCCTGCACCAGAGTCTAAACACCACCTGTGCACCTGTGTTTAGCCTGTCTCTGCCAATGGACAGGCCCTCCTTTGAGTCCCACAATATAGATGCCTGTGAAGAGCGTGTCACGTGTTGCTGTTCTTGCTGAGGATCCCAGCCCCGACGTGGGAGTCCCTTTCGAGGGCAGTGGTGACTTTCCCTGCAGTGATGAGGACTCAGGACATGGACCCGGATGCGGCAGCCCGACTAACGGCGCGTGTTCCCAGAGGCCGAGCCCGTGAAGCACAATGGTGGTTGCGATGCCAGTTCCCTTGTCAGTAGCGCACCCCCGCTTCAGTCGGCTGTTCTTTGGCTCTCGGTGTAGCACGGGCACCACTTGCCTAGGGCTGTTCTGCCCGCACGCCAAGAGCCAAATTGTCATGTGTGTGGGACCAGTCGCCTGTCCGACCTTCGTGTGGCCACCTCTTCTCATAGGGCTTCGTGAAGGCCTGAGGCGTGCATCCATTACCTGAGGCCCGCTGCCCTCACAGGGCTCGTTGCCTTTCCCCGTGGCCGCTGAGGTTTCATGCTGCGCCCGGACCCGGCTCAGCTAATGGGGCGACGTAATCCACATCGACATCGCTTCGAAGGTCGAAAGTGGGTTTTTGGAGGAGAGTCCTTGTGCTGTGCTTTGCCAGAGGGCTTCGGACACGTGGTGTCTCAGGGCTTTGCAACGTCCCCTGAGGGCAGTCCCGTCATCTCATGCTATTACGTGGCAGGGTGTGAGGCCACGGATCCCCGGATTGCCCGTGTACTTTGCGCTGATGAACTCTAAACATGAGCTCCTGAGCCACGGATGGCCAGCCTGCCAGCCTGCCAGCCTGCCCTGCACACGCACACATGTGCACACCTGCTTGCTAAGAAACCCATAGAGTCACGCTGATGCACACACACTCAAACACACCCACAGAGGGCCCCACACAAACAGACGCATGCACATCCCCACTCATGGCGTGCGGTCTTACCAGAAACATTGTCATAGTCTAACAAGGAAATCCCTAGACACACAGGAGACAGAGGCACATCCCCTTGGGTCGGATGACGTGGGCCCGTTCCATCTCACTGATGAGCAGCTAGCCCTGTGGGACAGAGGGACAGCACAGGGAGATGCAAAGCTTCCCCCACAGAACCGTTTGGAACGCTCAGGCCGTCTGAGCGCCTGGGTGGGTACGTCACGCATTCGCCTGATTTCTCCACACCTCCTCAGGTCCCGAGGCCTAGCTAGGCGTCCTGTGCACATGGAGAAGAAGACCTTCCTTTCCTTTCCACGGTGGTGTGGAGAGATGATGGCGGGCCCTGTGGAAGAAGAGTGGTCCAGGACGGGGAACCTGCACACGGATCACCAGAGGTAAGCTTTTGTTGTCTCAAAGTGTACTGATGGCACTAGAAGGTCCTGAGATGGCCTGCGGACCTGCCAGCTGGCTTGTGCTCCTGGCCATGCACGTTGGCTCTCCAGGAAGTTTGCCTAAGCCTGTTGCTCAGGGGCATTGCTGTGGATGGTCTCCAGGGTACTGGAGGGTGCTGAGGCCACCGGGAGACCCTAAGAGCTGTTCAGCCAGCGTAGTTCAATATACCAGGATGCCGAGAGAGTGCTTGGATCGATGATGACTCCCTCAATCTGCATTCCTTGGAAAAGCTGAACAAAATGAGTGAGAACTCCCTGCCGTCGTTCTCATCGCAACTGAGGTCCAGCACCTTGTCTCCCCCAGGGAAGGAAGGAGTGAGCGACAGCTTCACCTTCGTCGTGCCACACGCTTGCAACCACCACCACCAACACCACCACCACTACCACCACCACCACCAACACCACCATCTCCACCCAAGGGCCTTGGGATCAGAGAGCCTGGCGGAGGGCTGAGGGCCTAAAAAAACGTGTGCTCTCCTTGGGTGGGAGTCCTCGACTTGGTGGTCCTCCATGACATGGCTGGGCTTTGGTGGTGTCTCAGACAGCCAGCAGCCAAGTGGTAGGAGTTGCGTTAGGTGGCTTTGGCAGGGCCTTGAGAGCATCTATGTCGGAGTACGTCGGCCAGGCCAAAGATTGAGCCAGTACTCCTGGTGGTGTGTGGTGCGCCCCCATTCGGGGCCAGACGCCGCCCGTGTACAGGTGGACTCCCGACCGGCAAGGAGCAATCTCTGTCCGAGGCCTCTGTCCCCCGTTCTCAGCTGAGAGCTGAACAGGGTTGCGGGAGGACAGGAAAGACACCAGATGGGTTCGGTGCATTTGATAGAGCCGTAATTCATGTGAGGCCAGACGAGGATGGAGACACACAACTCGCATGCACACACGAATACACATACAAACATACAGAAGCACGTATACAGTCACACACACACACACACACACACACACACACACACACAGACACGCCAGGAAGTCCAGGAGAGCTCATGGTGTACGTTCAGGGCAGGAGTGTAGAAGCTTTGGTGGCCACTGGGAAGAATGGGAATGGCAGGGCCAAGGGCGTCTGGAGGAAACGTGTGTGTGGGCAGGGCAGCTGGTGGCCTCCCTACACCTGGATGCTGTCGGGAAAACCAAGGTGTCAGAGCTTTCTGAGCTGTTTGAGGCCCCACCACATTCCAACTTCCCCATGGGCTGTGATTTACGGCCTTAAGGGGCCGCCTGGCGATGGTGCCGAGGGCTCTGTCCGACCCGCCCCTGGCCACTCCTTTCCCAAAAAGGGTCTCTCCTGCGTGTCTACACTGTTCCTGGGATAGCCGTGCCGGCCATTGCCACCCTGGTTGTCCCAGCTGGGCCTTGCAGACCCTGGCCGTGCAGACCTTGCCTCCTGGGCTGCCGGGCTCCTGTGTAAAGGCATCCACCCAGGGCAGCCCTTGATCAGCATCCGGATTGGCTCCTTCCTGCTCTGTGGGCACAAGACTTCTGTGGGCCAGGCTGCAGACCTTGCAGGACAGGCCACAGGGACCCGATAGTAGGCAGGCGGAGCCTCTTGTCAAGGCTGTGGGGCTTGGCCCTTGTCCTCCTCTTCGTGGGAAGGCACTGGTTCTCCTTTATGTGTGCCTCTCACCGATAGTAATGTAGCCATGCCCCTGCACCAGAGTCTAAACACCACCTGTGCACCTGTGTTTAGCCTGTCTCTGCCAATGGACAGGCCCTCCTTTGAGTCCCACAATATAGATGCCTGTGAAGAGCGTGTCACGTGTTGCTGTTCTTGCTGAGGATCCCAGCCCCGACGTGGGAGTCCCTTTCGAGGGCAGTGGTGACTTTCCCTGCAGTGATGAGGACTCAGGACATGGACCCGGATGCGGCAGCCCGACTAACGGCGCGTGTTCCCAGAGGCCGAGCCCGTGAAGCACAATGGTGGTTGCGATGCCAGTTCCCTTGTCAGTAGCGCACCCCCGCTTCAGTCGGCTGTTCTTTGGCTCTCGGTGTAGCACGGGCACCACTTGCCTAGGGCTGTTCTGCCCGCACGCCAAGAGCCAAATTGTCATGTGTGTGGGACCAGTCGCCTGTCCGACCTTCGTGTGGCCACCTCTTCTCATAGGGCTTCGTGAAGGCCTGAGGCGTGCATCCATTACCTGAGGCCCGCTGCCCTCACAGGGCTCGTTGCCTTTCCCCGTGGCCGCTGAGGTTTCATGCTGCGCCCGGACCCGGCTCAGCTAATGGGGCGACGTAATCCACATCGACATCGCTTCGAAGGTCGAAAGTGGGTTTTTGGAGGAGAGTCCTTGTGCTGTGCTTTGCCAGAGGGCTTCGGACACGTGGTGTCTCAGGGCTTTGCAACGTCCCCTGAGGGCAGTCCCGTCATCTCATGCTATTACGTGGCAGGGTGTGAGGCCACGGATCCCCGGATTGCCCGTGTACTTTGCGCTGATGAACTCTAAACATGAGCTCCTGAGCCACGGATGGCCAGCCTGCCAGCCTGCCAGCCTGCCCTGCACACGCACACATGTGCACACCTGCTTGCTAAGAAACCCATAGAGTCACGCTGATGCACACACACTCAAACACACCCACAGAGGGCCCCACACAAACAGACGCATGCACATCCCCACTCATGGCGTGCGGTCTTACCAGAAACATTGTCATAGTCTAACAAGGAAATCCCTAGACACACAGGAGACAGAGGCACATCCCCTTGGGTCGGATGACGTGGGCCCGTTCCATCTCACTGATGAGCAGCTAGCCCTGTGGGACAGAGGGACAGCACAGGGAGATGCAAAGCTTCCCCCACAGAACCGTTTGGAACGCTCAGGCCGTCTGAGCGCCTGGGTGGGTACGTCACGCATTCGCCTGATTTCTCCACACCTCCTCAGGTCCCGAGGCCTTGCTAGGCGTCCTGTGCACATGGAGAAGAAGACCTTCCTTTCCTTTCCACGGTGGTGTGGAGAGATGATGGCGGGCCCTGTGGAAGAAGAGTGGTCCAGGACGGGGAACCTGCACACGGATCACCAGAGGTAAGCTTTTGTTGTCTCAAAGTGTACTGATGGCACTAGAAGGTCCTGAGATGGCCTGCGGACCTGCCAGCTGGCTTGTGCTCCTGGCCATGCACGTTGGCTCTCCAGGAAGTTTGCCTAAGCCTGTTGCTCAGGGGCATTGCTGTGGATGGTCTCCAGGGTACTGGAGGGTGCTGAGGCCACCGGGAGACCCTAAGAGCTGTTCAGCCAGCGTAGTTCAATATACCAGGATGCCGAGAGAGTGCTTGGATCGATGATGACTCCCTCAATCTGCATTCCTTGGAAAAGCTGAACAAAATGAGTGAGAACTCCCTGCCGTCGTTCTCATCGCAACTGAGGTCCAGCACCTTGTCTCCCCCAGGGAAGGAAGGAGTGAGCGACAGCTTCACCTTCGTCGTGCCACACGCTTGCAACCACCACCACCAACACCACCACCACTACCACCACCACCACCAACACCACCATCTCCACCCAAGGGCCTTGGGATCAGAGAGCCTGGCGGAGGGCTGAGGGCCTAAAACAACGTGTGCTCTCCTTGGGTGGGAGTCCTCGACTTGGTGGTCCTCCCTGACATGGCTGGGCTTTGGTGGTGTCTCAGACAGCCAGCAGCCAAGTGGTAGGAGTTGCGTTAGGTGGCTTTGGCAGGGCCTTGAGAGCATCTATGTCGGAGTACGTCGGCCAGGCCAAAGATTGAGCCAGTACTCCTGGTGGTGTGTGGTGCGCCCCCATTCGGGGCCAGACGCCGCCCGTGTACAGGTGGACTCCCGACCGGCAAGGAGCAATCTCTGTCCGAGGCCTCTGTCCCCCGTTCTCAGCTGAGAGCTGAACAGGGTTGCGGGAGGACAGGAAAGACACCAGATGGGTTCGGTGCATTTGATAGAGCCGTAATTCATGTGAGGCCAGACGAGGATGGAGACACACAACTCGCATGCACACACGAATACACATACAAACATACAGAAGCACGTATACAGTCACACACACACACACACACACACACACACACACACACAGACACGCCAGGAAGTCCAGGAGAGCTCATGGTGTACGTTCAGGGCAGGAGTGTAGAAGCTTTGGTGGCCACTGGGAAGAATGGGAATGGCAGGGCCAAGGGCGTCTGGAGGAAACGTGTGTGTGGGCAGGGCAGCTGGTGGCCTCCCTACACCTGGATGCTGTCGGGAAAACCAAGGTGTCAGAGCTTTCTGAGCTGTTTGAGGCCCCACCACATTCCAACTTCCCCATGGGCTGTGATTTACGGCCTTAAGGGGCCGCCTGGCGATGGTGCCGAGGGCTCTGTCCGACCCGCCCCTGGCCACTCCTTTCCCAAAAAGGGTCTCTCCTGCGTGTCTACACTGTTCCTGGGATAGCCGTGCCGGCCATTGCCACCCTGGTTGTCCCAGCTGGGCCTTGCAGACCCTGGCCGTGCAGACCTTGCCTCCTGGGCTGCCGGGCTCCTGTGTAAAGGCATCCACCCAGGTCAGCCCTTGATCAGCATCCGGATTGGCTCCTTCCTGCTCTGTGGGCACAAGACTTCTGTGGGCCAGGCTGCAGACCTTGCAGGACAGGCCACAGGGACCCGATAGTAGGCAGGCGGAGCCTCTTGTCAAGGCTGTGGGGCTTGGCCCTTGTCCTCCTCTTCGTGGGAAGGCACTGGTTCTCCTTTATGTGTGCCTCTCACCGATAGTAATGTAGCCATGCCCCTGCACCAGAGTCTAAACACCACCTGTGCACCTGTGTTTAGCCTGTCTCTGCCAATGGACAGGCCCTCCTTTGAGTCCCACAATATAGATGCCTGTGAAGAGCGTGTCACGTGTTGCTGTTCTTGCTGAGGATCCCAGCCCCGACGTGGGAGTCCCTTTCGAGGGCAGTGGTGACTTTCCCTGCAGTGATGAGGACTCAGGACATGGACCCGGATGCGGCAGCCCGACTAACGGCGCGTGTTCCCAGAGGCCGAGCCCGTGAAGCACAATGGTGGTTGCGATGCCAGTTCCCTTGTCAGTAGCGCACCCCCGCTTCAGTCGGCTGTTCTTTGGCTCTCGGTGTAGCACGGGCACCACTTGCCTAGGGCTGTTCTGCCCGCACGCCAAGAGCCAAATTGTCATGTGTGTGGGACCAGTCGCCTGTCCGACCTTCGTGTGGCCACCTCTTCTCATAGGGCTTCGTGAAGGCCTGAGGCGTGCATCCATTACCTGAGGCCCGCTGCCCTCACAGGGCTCGTTGCCTTTCCCCGTGGCCGCTGAGGTTTCATGCTGCGCCCGGACCCGGCTCAGCTAATGGGGCGACGTAATCCACATCGACATCGCTTCGAAGGTCGAAAGTGGGTTTTTGGAGGAGAGTCCTTGTGCTGTGCTTTGCCAGAGGGCTTCGGACACGTGGTGTCTCAGGGCTTTGCAACGTCCCCTGAGGGCAGTCCCGTCATCTCATGCTATTACGTGGCAGGGTGTGAGGCCACGGATCCCCGGATTGCCCGTGTACTTTGCGCTGATGAACTCTAAACATGAGCTCCTGAGCCACGGATGGCCAGCCTGCCAGCCTGCCAGCCTGCCCTGCACACGCACACATGTGCACACCTGCTTGCTAAGAAACCCATAGAGTCACGCTGATGCACACACACTCAAACACACCCACAGAGGGCCCCACACAAACAGACGCATGCACATCCCCACTCATGGCGTGCGGTCTTACCAGAAACATTGTCATAGTCTAACAAGGAAATCCCTAGACACACAGGAGACAGAGGCACATCCCCTTGGGTCGGATGACGTGGGCCCGTTCCATCTCACTGATGAGCAGCTAGCCCTGTGGGACAGAGGGACAGCACAGGGAGATGCAAAGCTTCCCCCACAGAACCGTTTGGAACGCTCAGGCCGTCTGAGCGCCTGGGTGGGTACGTCACGCATTCGCCTGATTTCTCCACACCTCCTCAGGTCCCGAGGCCTTGCTAGGCGTCCTGTGCACATGGAGAAGAAGACCTTCCTTTCCTTTCCACGGTGGTGTGGAGAGATGATGGCGGGCCCTGTGGAAGAAGAGTGGTCCAGGACGGGGAACCTGCACACGGATCACCAGAGGTAAGCTTTTGTTGTCTCAAAGTGTACTGATGGCACTAGAAGGTCCTGAGATGGCCTGCGGACCTGCCAGCTGGCTTGTGCTCCTGGCCATGCACGTTGGCTCTCCAGGAAGTTTGCCTAAGCCTGTTGCTCAGGGGCATTGCTGTGGATGGTCTCCAGGGTACTGGAGGGTGCTGAGGCCACCGGAGACCCTAAGAGCTGTTCAGCCAGCGTAGTTCAATATACCAGGATGCCGAGAGAGTGCTTGGATCGATGATGACTCCCTCAATCTGCATTCCTTGGAAAAGCTGAACAAAATGAGTGAGAACTCCCTGCCGTCGTTCTCATCGCAACTGAGGTCCAGCACCTTGTCTCCCCCAGGGAAGGAAGGAGTGAGCGACAGCTTCACCTTCGTCGTGCCACACGCTTGCAACCACCACCACCAACACCACCACCACTACCACCACCACCACCAACACCACCATCTCCACCCAAGGGCCTTGGGATCAGAGAGCCTGGCGGAGGGCTGAGGGCCTAAAACAACGTGTGCTCTCCTTGGGTGGGAGTCCTCGACTTGGTGGTCCTCCCTGACATGGCTGGGCTTTGGTGGTGTCTCAGACAGCCAGCAGCCAAGTGGTAGGAGTTGCGTTAGGTGGCTTTGGCAGGGCCTTGAGAGCATCTATGTCGGAGTACGTCGGCCAGGCCAAAGATTGAGCCAGTACTCCTGGTGGTGTGTGGTGCGCCCCCATTCGGGGCCAGACGCCGCCCGTGTACAGGTGGACTCCCGACCGGCAAGGAGCAATCTCTGTCCGAGGCCTCTGTCCCCCGTTCTCAGCTGAGAGCTGAACAGGGTTGCGGGAGGACAGGAAAGACACCAGATGGGTTCGGTGCATTTGATAGAGCCGTAATTCATGTGAGGTCAGACGAGGATGGAGACACACAACTCGCATGCACACACGAATACACATACAAACATACAGAAGCACGTATACAGTCACACACACACACACACACACACACACACACACACACAGACACGCCAGGAAGTCCAGGAGAGCTCATGGTGTACGTTCAGGGCAGGAGTGTAGAAGCTTTGGTGGCCACTGGGAAGAATGGGAATGGCAGGGCCAAGGGCGTCTGGAGGAAACGTGTGTGTGGGCAGGGCAGCTGGTGGCCTCCCTACACCTGGATGCTGTCGGGAAAACCAAGGTGTCAGAGCTTTCTGAGCTGTTTGAGGCCCCACCACATTCCAACTTCCCCATGGGCTGTGATTTACGGCCTTAAGGGGCCGCCTGGCGATGGTGCCGAGGGCTCTGTCCGACCCGCCCCTGGCCACTCCTTTCCCAAAAAGGGTCTCTCCTGCGTGTCTACACTGTTCCTGGGATAGCCGTGCCGGCCATTGCCACCCTGGTTGTCCCAGCTGGGCCTTGCAGACCCTGGCCGTGCAGACCTTGCCTCCTGGGCTGCCGGGCTCCTGTGTAAAGGCATCCACCCAGGTCAGCCCTTGATCAGCATCCGGATTGGCTCCTTCCTGCTCTGTGGGCACAAGACTTCTGTGGGCCAGGCTGCAGACCTTGCAGGACAGGCCACAGGGACCCGATAGTAGGCAGGCGGAGCCTCTTGTCAAGGCTGTGGGGCTTGGCCCTTGTCCTCCTCTTCGTGGGAAGGCACTGGTTCTCCTTTATGTGTGCCTCTCACCGATAGTAATGTAGCCATGCCCCTGCACCAGAGTCTAAACACCACCTGTGCACCTGTGTTTAGCCTGTCTCTGCCAATGGACAGGCCCTCCTTTGAGTCCCACAATATAGATGCCTGTGAAGAGCGTGTCACGTGTTGCTGTTCTTGCTGAGGATCCCAGCCCCGACGTGGGAGTCCCTTTCGAGGGCAGTGGTGACTTTCCCTGCAGTGATGAGGACTCAGGACATGGACCCGGATGCGGCAGCCCGACTAACGGCGC